GTGTGTGTGTGTGTGTGTTTGCATAGGCACGAGGAATCTAACACCTTGAGGTGTGAATCACCTCATCTATGGAGAGGCTTGCATGTGAGCTAACAGGACAGACTGGATCATAAATGGGAAATAGCAGCAGCAGCAGCTGCAGCAGCAGTGATGTGTTTAGTTAAGTCAGACAAAACACAGGATTTCTTCTTTGTAAATTTACAAACTAATTTTTACTCCTAATCTCAGGCTTAGCTGGTCATGATGTGAACTCGACAGTCCCTGCTGCATAGATTTCTAATACGTTACAGTGCAAACAGGATACAGGTACCATTTTAATGTTAGTCAGCTTTCCAATCAGTGTGTCATAAAATCAAACATCCAACTGTAATGGACACACTGCCACACTTATGAAGGATAGATTTAATAATAAGCAATGCACCTGAGGCAGTCATATGTTGCCGCTATCAAGATTAGGACCCAATATGCAGGACTTGGAAGCAACACTGAACTCAAAATACAGCTTTACTGCTGGACTCACAGGGATCAAAAAAACCTAAGCTGAGCAGATACCAGGAATTTACTAACTAGAAAACTATACTGGAGACACATAACACACGGGATGCAAAAAAGAGTAAGGGATGATGCAACAAAGAAAAATAATGAGGGAGGGGAAGCAAACGCAACACAAGTCACAGAAAGCAACAACTATCACAATAAAACAGGAAGGCATGACTGAAAGAGAACGGAGGGTTAGCTTGACATAGAGTGGGACGCTGTTCTGATTCATAATTTTACATATAATGTTGTATGTACCGTGTGCCAAGCAGTTCTGCCTTGGTTGCTTTTGAGTCCTTTCTTTTTGTCCTCCCCATATCAGTTGTCTGTGGCTCAGAAGGCAGAGTAGGTCTTCCATTCGCGGGGTTGGTGGTCTAGTCTAGTAGTCTCGTCTGAGTGTTGAAGCATCCTTGGGCAAGATACTGAACCCTGAGATGCCTTTGATGCATTCATCGGATTGTGAATGTTATTGTAAAAGTTCTCATTCATTAAAAGAAAAGCACTCATGTAAATGTGCGAACAAGTCTTGTTGTGAGAAAGTACTTTGAGTGCTCGAACAGAGTAGGGAAGCGATATGTCACTATCAGTCCATTTAGCATTTCAACAGATTTGAGAGCTGATTATTAAGCAGTGTTACTGGAAGAATTTAGGAAGATTTCAAATGGAAGAAAATAAGAGGAGTTTACCGCTGGTGTTGTGATGGGTAACGACCAGAGTTGGTCAAGTTACTTGAAAAAAGTAATCAGTAACTAATTACTGATTACTTCCCCCAAAAAAGTAATCCAGTTAATTTACTGATTACTTATTTTCAAAAGTAATTAATTACTTAGTTACTTTTTAAAAACACGATTTACAACCTGAATACGTAATAAAGCAATCGATCTTTCAGCCCACTTCTACTTTTTCTGCATAATCCATCATACAAAATGTAATCAAATGGAAACGTCTCTTTTTTAAAACTTGTTTTGTTAGTTTTAATCTTTTAACTTTATGCATTAAGCAAACATTTAATTATATGCAACATTCTCTGACTGGAAGAAATTTGTTTAACATTTAAACCTATTTTCTGCACATTCCAGCACATAAAATAAAATTATTTTTTTACACTCACTCTGTCAAATAGATGCAAGTAAAACACAGCAGAAAATAAATAAAATCAAAGACTATCGGTCCCTATTTTCACCTGTAAAGCAGGAGTAGGGTAGTCGGAGGTTTGCCCTGGTGCAGGTGTGCCGCAGCGGTCAGTTGAAGAATCCGCGAGTTCCTCTGTGAATTTCCCATTACGTCGTAGCGCACTCGGTGCTTGCAAGTTTAGGGTTTTTTTTCACTGTAAAAAGAAGTTTTCTTCTCACGCACAACAGACACTAATGTTTTCGTCACTTTTTACGGAATCGCAAACTTAAAGTAAGGTCAGTACTTCCACGCTTTAAACGCTGCACGCTCATACTCTCTCCCCATTTGATCTGCACACATCTGTTGCCACGAACGTCGCACTCGCTTACGTTACTGTCATGAGACATTCTCGCCAAAAAATCACAGTTTTAGTAACGCAGTAACGCAGCGTTCTTACGAGAAAGTAACGGTAATCTAATTACCGTATTTGCAATAGTAATCCCTTACTTTACTCGTTACTTGAAAAAAGTAATCGGATTACAGTAACGCGCCCATCTCTGGTAATGACAACACATTTGTGGAAAGGGAATAATCAAAAATCAAGTCCAGTGCAGAATTTCAGTACAGGCACAAACTGCAATAATTACAACTGAGTTTTGTTTTCTTTTACTGCAAGCATCATCATCATCATCATCATCATCGTCGTCGTCGTCGCCATCACTGTGTTGTTTTTCTTCTGCTGCAGCTTTTGTTCCTGTTTTTGTTCCTCCCCCCTTTTTCCCTCCCTGAGTTCACACACTTGTTGGCTTTTTGCCTGCTGTGTTTCCATGGTAGCAGTCACCACTCACTCTTCAGCACTCCTTTGCCCTTTCTTTCTTTTTTTCTTTCTTTTTTTTTATCAATTTATAATTGAATCGGGAGCATGGTAACTCATTAGTCACTCTGACACTGAGTTTCTGTATCTGATATTATTCCACTTTCAATCAATGGATCATAAAAACATTGCAGATGTAATGTTTGTCATGTATTCTCATCAGGTTTTCAGGTTTTAACCCTTCTTTCTCAGTCTGTGAGGCTACATGTTATCTTTGTGAGGACCGGAATCTGCATTCTACTATACTTGTAAGAACCGACAGTCACTTGTGTGGACACACTCACCGGTCCTCACAAGTTTGAAGGCCTTTTTGAGGCTCAAAATGTGGTTTTAGTGTCAGGGTTACAATTAGGTTATGGTTAGGTTTAGGGTAAGGGTTAGGGTTAGGCATTCATTTTTAATGGTTAGGGTAAGGGGCTAGGGAAACCATTATGTCAGTGAAGGTACCCACTAAGATAGCTGAATGGGCTTGTGTGTGTGTGTGCGCGCATGTGTGTGTAACCTTGTTTACATATCTTTGTGGAGACCAAAAATGTGAGGTTTACTATGCTTGTGGGGACCAACAGTAGAGTCTTGACCTTACACATAGAGTGCCACAAGACAGCAAGATGGATTATGGATTACAGGTGTAGACTGAGTCATATGTCACTGAACACAGCAGAAAGACAGCTAGGCTTATTTTTAACACTCACTTACACATGCACGCACACACACACACACACACACACACACACACACACTTCATATATTTCCATTCATGAACAAATGTGTGTGTATTTAGGCATTAATCTCTCGCACCTCATCAATCTCAAAGAGTAATGTGTAACTGCACACCACAGTATTATTTTGCTAGCTGAAATTTGTGCACACCAACAGAATCATGAGGTCTTCATCGCTGCTTCAACTGTTGCTCACACTCACAGAGATGTTGTCAGCTGCTCATATCACTGCTCCAAACGCAGTGACTTATATCTATGTTATGCACTTGCAGCATAGCATTATTATGGTTTCACCAAATTGTGTGCTGATGCCACAGTTGGGTATTTATTTATGACTCGGTTGCTGTTTTTCAAAGTCCGAAGCTTTATCCATACATGAGCGAATAACGCCATCTTGTGGTCAAGTAGTCAACAGCAACACACACAAAAAAGGCAAAGCTGAGAGGTCTCTATTCCCAGCTGCATACAAAGTAATATTGATTTTTGCAGGCCGATTACATCCTGCACAGTTTGCTAATACTAAGAAAAAGTCAAGCAAGTGGTGATAAAGGCAGAGCTCTCAATATATGTTTAGACTAAAACTATTATATTCTTTATTCAAATAATCTGCTTTTAAAACATCCAGCTTTGCAAAGTGTGAAATTGTTCATATTTACATTAAAGAGAGATCACATTGGAGAGCAAAATAATCTTCTGTCTTTTAGTTACAAACTCTAAATGTGCTTTTTGTAGCTCTGCTGTGAACTGTGCAAGACACAACGCTGAAAATGCACTTTTTAAAAAAGTATTGAAGTCTGCTCATCATCTGTTCTGTAAATAAAAGGTGAAATAATTATGAATGTTTATTAAAAACAAAGATATTCTGACTTCTGTTTCCCCCCTCACCAGGTGTTGCTGCTGTGAAGGACTCGGTCCCCCTGTCTCCCCTCAAATCTTCAGCTGGGTCTGCAGATGCAGAGCAGCAAAGTACTGAAGCAGGAAACTCTGCTTCGGGCAATGACTTGCAGCCTCGTGTTTCCATGGAAACCTCAAGTCTCCGACCTCAGACGCCCAAAGCTGAACATGAATTGGAGGAAGACGATGAGGCCGGCGGCACACTGACCATTTCTGAGCTTACTTACAGGTCAATAAATCTTTATAATAAACTGTCAAAAGCAGCTTTTTTTTATTATAAAAGCCTCAACAGCTGCTTTCGGCTGAATAATTATTTTCTGGCTCATGTGTTCGGTGTAAACAGTAAATATTGTTGTGTTTTGATGGATGCAGTTGCCTGTTTTTGGAAAGAAAACTCCAACTTCAACCCATTTTCTCTAGCAAAGCACAAATCTTAGAGTTTTTAACATTTTAGGAGCAAAAGGTTTCTCTCAGGCATAAGTGAGATTCAGGACAGTCAGCAGAAACTGAATCTGAACATTAGTAACATTCATTGGGTGAACAGGTGAACATTCATTAGGTCCTGGTGCAGCTCTTCTCACATGGTTACCTGATAAAACTTAAATTGTCATTTTTGTGGTGCACATGCTTATAGGCTCAGGTTTGCTTATTCTCTCTCTTCTCCAGTCCCTGTGCCAGCATGCTTCCCACCCCAGTGGACGACAGCCAGGGAGGAGTCGACTTGCTCTTCTCCTCTCCAGTTCAAAGCCCCGCCAGGTTGCTTAGGGAGCTCCATGCTGATCCTGACATCCAGGCCCAGCTGGAGGCCGAGAGAGAGCGAGACAGGGCCTATGAGCGCACCCGCCTGGCTGCAAGAAGTCGAATGAGCAGAGTCCTGACCAGCAGTCTGCGCCTGCTATCATCCAATGACAGAGTCAATGCTTGCGTGTTGAGCGTGGCCCGCTTTGTCGCTGTGGTAATGGGGGTCCTGCTCGTCACCGTGCCCACACTGCTGCTGCTGCTGGAGTCAGATATTGACGTGTCCTTCCTCCATGAGATCCGGCAGACACCGGAGTTTGAGCAGTTTCACTACGAGTATTACTGCCCGCTCCGACGCTGGATCCTGTGTAAGATCAGCATGGCCATGGAGAACCTGTGGTCAGACTGAGAAGGGAAAAGACATTCAGAAAAAGAGCAGAGAGAAGAGGCACTGTGAGGAAAACAAATACGTCCAAGTGTATGTCTTAACATGTGATTTAATCTTATATTTAATCTAGTATTCAGCCAAAACACCAGTCTGCCAAAGAGATGAAATGAGACTGTAGTTTATGCAACACTACATTGGCTCAGAAAATTCTTGTTGGATGTTTCATTCAAAAAATCAATTACATTTCTGTCAGGATCCCTAAAATGAGGCAAAAACACTGGGACAAGAGCATTTGTTTCACCTCTTTGGCTGCGTAATTTGCTGCTTGGAAGATAGAAATACAATTTTAATAGTAGCATTTAGTCACTTGTTAAGATAAACACTTCAGATAGTGATGAAGTGAAAAGATAGAGGACAGTAGATGCTCAAGGAGGAACTTGTGGAAAGGGATGTAATGGACATAGAAAAAGTCACAAAAAGAAGAAATTTGAATGGCTGTTCACTCCTGATGCTGATAAATTGATGAGGAGACTCTCCACGAACCTTTCTGATTGGTTCCTGTCCTTGGAGCACCTGATTGGTAACAGAGCCTGTCAGTCATGACGGAGTGGGTGGACACAGAAAGCTATGATTGATTAGTCACTGAACAACAACATCCACAGTCAGAGGTACATTATATAAATATATACATATATATTTAAAAAAAAACAAGAGATATTGATAAGAATGCCAATTAAAAAAAACTTGTTTTTAACATTTTGTACATTTTTATGTGATCAGATCTTTCAGGAATTTTTCAGTCAGAGGATCTACTTTGAGCTTATTTTCAAATTAATAGTTTACAAAAGATTACAAAAAAAAGCGAATTTGCTGAGATTTATCAGGGTGTGAGTGTTGAGAAACTATTTTTTAGGACTACCAACAACAGTTGTTGGCTTGGTAGCACCCTGGCTTTTTCCTACAGAGGCTATAGCACAAATCTTTTACACAGATCACTGATTACAACTGTTTCAGATTACGTGATGTCATTTTGGAAAGATGAGGAAGGCCGGAGAAAAACTCTCAGCTTGTTTTCTTTGATAAAATGTGTTTCGATGAAAGTGTAAATGTCATCTGAACTAAATGTTAGCTCATTAGTTTACGGTCGCTCATGCATCTTCAAACAGTGTGGACAGAGTCTGCGGTAAACGTATGAAAAAAGGAAGAAAAGGTTACAGGAAAGTTCATGAGGGAAAATGATCGTGGAATTGAGGTTCATTTTTGATTAGTCAGCAATGTGCTACTTCACAGGGAGCTGTGCATAAGTTTCAGGAGAAACTAACGATGGGTTGGTGTGGCTGACTCAAAAGAGTGTGCTCCAACGACACTGTGGGACAAGTGATGCGTTTAATGGCCTGAAACCGCTCATGAAGGTAATGTATTGGCGCGGTTGCAGTTGCAGTTATTAATCTTGCAGAATAAGATCAGCAGTTTGGTCACAGACACAGTCACTGGAGTACATTTCTAAAAGGTTCTGTGGTTGCATCATGTTGAGTATTTATCTTTGGATGTGACCAAAGACAGAGGTATCATGTTGCAGTGTAGACACAGTGAATCATGGGATTCTGGTTTGAGGAGATTTAAGGTTCTGTTCATGGATATATACTTCTAATTTGGCTTAAGTATTCACCCCGACCAGTCACCAAATAAACTAAAACCTCTTTCCTAGCACTGTATAGGCCCCACAGGTACTGGCAAAAACCTCTGAGAGTGAGCATTAACGATCCTCTGTTTCCTGGGAATGCTTGATCAGATTGGGACCTAAGGATATTGGATGACAGGTCAGCACTGCTTTATTTGCTTTACTTGATAGATATCAAAGTATATTAACATGAAGGCCTACAGTTTCATAGTGAAACAGCCCCTATTCACTTCAGGTGTGAGTGTTTGCATAGACTCATCATCAATGTCATGATAATCTGTGGATTTTAATGATTTCTTTGAGCAGTTTTTTCAGGGTGGAATGATTTTACAACATACATCTTTAATGACTATAAAAACACAAACTTTGTGCATAAGTTTCAATTTATTTTGGATTTTCTCTAATTCACGAAGGGATAGTTTAAGTATAAGTCAAAAGTATGCAGGCTTAAATATATAGATGTACTCTGACTAACATTTTGTTGAAAATCTCTTGTTGCACCTTGACCTCATGCTTTTGGTAGCCATCAACATGTCTGTTGTAATTCTAGCTGGACATTTGACCATTCTTGGCAGAACTGGTAGAGTTTATTTATTATTTATTCAAGTGACACCCTGTGTCCACCCTGTGTGGATTAGACAAAATCCAAAATGCATTCAAAATAGTGCAGCCGGTCTTTAAAGATGTATGCTGTACATTGATTGCACGCTGGGAAAAGAACAGTTCAAGGAAATCATTAAAAGCCCAAAGTTGCCATGACTTTCATGACGAGTGCATGTAAACATCTGACCACAACTGTAACTTGTTGTTGATTGGTGTGTAAATTTAGGATCAACTCAAGTCATTGGAAGTGACATCCTGCTATGTGTATACATAGGAAAACTGATCTGGACCAGAGAGTGTAGGATTTTGGAAATTATTCACATTTGTCTGCCATGAAAGTATAAAAGGTGAGATCAAATATAGGGCAAGTCAAGGTTTCTGTGTGTGTGCTGTCTGTATAGATGATCTCAAAACTGTCAGTAAGTAAAAGTTTACTTTTTGGACCTTACAGCCATCAACTTGTTGGTTGAACCTGTGACGATGGCTGTCTGTTACAACATAGTGACTCTGAATGAAAGTGATGCTAAATGGCTTCAGATCAAATGAAAACAGATGTAGTTGTGTCCGAAATGTAGTTTGATTTGGATCAACTTCTCAGGAAAGGGCATTTATGCAGTTTATGTTAAAAAATTAAAAAGTCATTAATAAAAAAAAACATGCATATACACACCATGTAATTTATCCATAACCTTTATCTCATATGTCTTGCTATTTAGAATAACCAAGCACTGTAGGTGAAGTTAGACATTAATATGTTGGCTGACTGTCTGTGTTGTTGTAGCATAATTTCACATAACTAATGTATGCATCCATGTCAGTTTCATTAAAATACTACACAAAACTCCTTCTCTGAGAGCCTGTACGTGCAGTTTGGCCTTCATAGATAAACTTCAATGCTCTTTGCACTACTATCACAACTGGGAATGGCAACAGAGTATAATTTCTAGCCAGTCTCGAGGGTCTATTACAAAATCATCACTTAAAGTTGATTTTTCCACTCCTCGTACTCTTTGTAAGTGAGCTGCTACAGAGGCTTCTGCAGTGCACAGCCCTCACATTCTCTTCTATCTATTCTGCCTCATGTTATCAGCTGTGTTGTCGTGTAACTGTGGACTTTATGCATTAACAAGCTTTATGCATATATAGCAGATATGCAGTAACAACAGGAACAAGTTTATTTGAGGACAAAGCATTTATTTTCCTACTACAGCACATGCACTGAGTTTCAAAGGTGAAACTGAGCAAAGGGCCAAATGACTCTGATGATGATGTTTGCATCTAACGCTGCAGATTCTGAGATTTTATTTTTTTTTAAACGGCTTCACTCGAGTGAACAAAGCTGATCTGTATGCACTGCTAAATGATCACATCATCTCTGTCTTCATAGCGTGTATGCACAGGCATCAAAGTGCTCAAGAGATTCACCACAGATTAAAAGACTCTTCACGGCTCTAAAGATGCAGGACTTGGTTCTTTATTTCTGTGCTCCACCTTCCTGCAGTTAAACCAGGGAATCTATCTTTTTTGGTTCCTTTTGCTGACCTCTCAGTGCAGGTTGCATGCCCTTCATCTGTAAATACTGTGTTTATAGCTGTGGCAAAAGAAAAAACCAGTCTGGTTAAAGATTTCCTTTCTTTCTTTCCTCTGTGTGTCTTGTCTGTGTAAAGCAATCCACTGTAGATTACAGGCTTGGCTGTCTCAACCATCATAGATAAATGCATGTTCTCTGTGTTTTTACCAAGAGGAGAAACTGATGATCTTTTTGAAACCAAAAACCACTTTGCAGTGATCTTTGGACTTAATTTTAGTCACTCACTTCTCAACATAGACTACAGGTGGTTGCTAACTGTGTTAACTTAAGTAATATTCTCATCAGATGAAGAGCAGCTCCTCTAGTTAGCTACATTGTGCTTTTGCTGTGTGCTTGTACATCATTAAAGCCAGACCTCATTGCTAACAGAGCATGCTAGCATATTAGCCACTGATGCCATTAGCAAGGCTAGATTTCATTCACTTTCACTTCACAGAAATGAATTTAATCTCACTAATTGTAAAGTATTAATTCCAACTTGCTCAGATCTTTAGTTTGTAACTAGAAAATTAGAATCAACCACTGACTCATTGCAAACAACAGAAAGGCCTTTGGGGTCTATTTGATACTGTAGCACTATGTTAGTCTGTAGCTCATTTATACATTAACACCCTTTAAAAAAAAGGAGAATTGAACCACTTTGAGATTCAGCTCTTTTTTTTTTAGCTACAGAACTTGGGTTTCTGCTATTGACAAACAGCATACAGGATGGACTGGGAGAACAACTTTTGTTGCCTAATTATAAAGAAAACTGTGATAAAGAAAAAAATAGTAAAGTAAAAAAAAAAAAATCACATACAATTTGATGTCACATCTAAGTGCAAATTCAGAAGATATCGGCATGAGTCAAGTATTTACAAACCTTAAATTTAACTGCCTGTCTACATATCTGGAAAGTTAACAGCAAAAACGCTTAACTAACACTTGGAAATCAGATTGTTTAAAACTACTATACACAACCGAATACACTAATACATGTTTTAATTCATTTATTTAAGATTTTAAATATTTGAACTCAGGTCTACTATATGCAAAACTACTGGACATCACATGGTAGAGCAAAATAAACTGTATATTATTTCAGTGTTGTGTGGGCATGTACAGTAGTAGCAGAATCTCTTGCACGGTCCCTGTATTGTTTTGATTGTTATTGTTAAATCTGATTGTTTTGTTGTTTTATCAGTTAGTCAAATCCTTTTGTTGTTTCTTTTTTGTCATTTTGTCACTTTTAATAATAAACTCTGGGAGATTTGATTTAGGAAGAGTCAGAAAAAAAGGGGAAAACCATCCCTCGAGTAACAACCCCCCCTTCTCTACTGGGACAACCAAGCCTTATAAACTTTGTGAAGTGAACATTTTGAATGTTTGTATGTTATAACAGAAATCATGGTTTGTTTTATATGTTAATACTGCCACAATAAAGCTCCCTGATGAATATACATTGAAATGTTGTTATTACTGTGCGAGTTATTCCTGCTAATATCCTAATAAATCATGTTCCCATTTTGTCAGAGATTTGCCGCCCTCCTGTGGTAAAAAGGAGTTGCTGCAGCTTGTGTTGAGATCTCTATGGTGATATTTGTGTGAGCAACACAAGACTTCCATGGGTGTGTTCAGAGCTTTACTGCAACCTGAGCTTCATGTGTTTTAGATGCTACTTATGTTTTCTATGGCTGGAACTATCAAAATACAAGCTGGGAAAGAGTTCTGGGTAAGAGTGCTTATTCTCTTAAACTGGTTCAAACTAAAGCTGTTGTTTTTGTGGCATAAATAGCCAAACCATGTAATTCTTAGAGTGGATGTTGGAGAGCAACACTTGTTTCTTGTTTTTTCTATCTTCATCTAAAGTTCTCCAGGCTTTTTGAGTTTTTTTGATTTGGTTTGGGGGGTTTTGACATTGGCCGCTTTTTCAGTGAACTAAGGTTGTGTGATAATGCAGTCTGATAGTATAATTTGCACCAACAAGGTATTTCCCAACAAGCTATTAGCCGAAAACCTGCCATATTTTTGATTGATGCACAGTGTCTCTGCCCAAAAAACAAAAAAAACAAAAAACAAAACAGGAAACTGGACAAGCAGAGGACAAAAGAAGAAACTGCAGGCTTAAAAAACTAGCTGCAGTAAATGAACAGTATCAGAAAGTTGTGTCTGTAAGAAATAGGAAAAAGCAAAAGATCTGAGAGATGTATTTTTTCCTTAGTTGATCCAGCTGCTGTTCACCAAAGCCTGATTGGAAACAGTCTCAGTGAAAGGTTGGATGATGTGAAGACTCCAGCGACACTTGAAGTATTAGGAAACAACTTTATTAGGTGACCAATGCGCTTCGGCTTGTGGCCTTCATCAGGGTCATTGCAAAATATCAAACAGTTTGTGTTTAAATAAAAAAGAGGAAACAGAAAAACTCCAAGTGGACCAATCACACATTCACAAACAAGTGGAGGGTTGGTTACCAAGAAGCCATTTATAAAAAGAGTAAACGGACAAAAGGCTGAGGTACACCAAATGACACTAGAACTGGACTGAAAATCAGTGGAACAGGTCTTATGGAGAAACAAATCTAAATTTGGGGTAGCGCAATGCTGTAGTTAGCACTTTCACCTCAGAGCAAGAATATCCTGGGTTTGAATCCTCCAGCCTTTCTTTGTGAAGTCTGCGTATCGTCTCCAGGTGCTCCGGCCTGCCCCTGGCTGTTAGATTAAATGATTCCACACTGACCACAGGTATAAATGTGGATTTTATCTTTCTCTTGATAGATTGGAAACCTGTCCAGGGTGTATCCTTCCTCTGCCCCATGAAAGCTGGCATAGACTCCCACCCAGCTGTTACCCTCAACTAGATAGGTAGAAGGAAATGGATGGAATTCAGATTTGACATTCATGGTTGAAACTGTTGTCAGTATGTATGACGGAGGTCAGAAAAGATGCACAACAGTGAGTATCTAAAGCCATCAGTAAAACATGGTGGAGGCTATTTAATGGTTTAGGAGTGCATTTCAAGCAGTTGTATTAACAATGTCTTCTTAACTGATGAAACTATGAACGCAGAAAGTGCCATCAGATTTTGATACACTTTGTAAAAACTTTCTGAAAAGCATTTGATTGGAAACAACTTCATTCTTCAACATAACCCCCATTGAACATTATCTCCCATTGTCCTAGCAAAATATAAAGAAATGAGGGGTGACTTTTTCAGCGTATTGTATGTCGATGTGTTCAATTTGTTTTGCATAGTGCGTGCATTAAACATTTGTTTTGCTTCTAATAAACAGGACTGTTCTGCCATTAATGTAAATAACTTGATCGTTTACAGAGAACATATTAAGGTGTACACAGGAAGGCCAAATACTAAAGCATGCAATAATGGATGAAACTGGAGAAGAGACGTCTTTTCAAATGCCAGATCTAAATACTACAACAAAAGGTGCTGTGTCTGAACTCCTGGAGGATGTTGGGAATTGTAGGCAGAGTATCAACCAGGAGCTGAGCCTTCATCTTCTCAGTGACTCTCTCTTCAGCGAGCAGCAGAAGCTCAGGCATGTGTTGGACTGGGCTAACAGATATCTCTCCAGTGGTTCAGTGATTTGCCATGAACTCTGCAGAGCTGACAGTTTGATAAACGATATGAAAAACAAAGGAACCAAGAAAATCTCACCCAAACATTCATCTGGACCTAAATATCATCATCCAGTTTCCTTTGATGCTGGTGCTTGTGAGGTATATGGGGGAGGATCAAGTATGAAAACAACTTGTCAATCCAGACAGAGAGAGAAAAATTGGCCTGATACTGAAACTGAAAATATAAAAAGTAAAGAGCAACAACATGCCACCAATAAACACATTTCTTGCCAAGAATACCGCAGAACAAACAGATTTCACATGTCTAATCAAAGGAACCACACATTCACATCTGATGCTGCAACACACTTGATCAAAGAGTCCACATCATCTGGGAGGAATGCCATTTGTAACAAGAGCACAGCGCACAGTGAAGTGAATATCTTAAAACCGCTACATGAAAGCAACGATTTCAGTGGCATGACTTCTAAAAGAGCTGGAGCTAAAAGAGAGGTGTCAGAAAGTCAAAAGGTACGGAGAAAAGAGGACAAGTGGATGGAAGAGAATGAGAAGGAGAAAGTACAAGATGACAGGATTGAGGGAAATTATAGAAAAGAACAGGAATCCAGCTCAGATCACACACATAGTCAAATAAGCCTCGCTGAGCCTGAGATGATACCTGAGCAGACGGCAAAACCAGCCAATTCCCATTTAATCCATCCCTTGAAATTGTCATTAAATTTGAGTGTGTATGAGCAGTACCAGCTATGTGTGGCTCAGCTAAATCACCTCAGAATAAGCCAGCGTTTCAAGCCTGAGTCACCTGTGAAAGAGGGGACGACATCTGGAGAAATGGGCGATTATGTTAAAGCTCCAGCTTGTCCGGGGTCTTGCTTTGAACTGAACTCTCACATCACAAATCCTGAGATTAAAAAACAGGTTAACAACACAGGAAGCAAAAGAGCCACCGCAGCAGAAAGTGCAGAGAAGAGGAGCTCACATGGCACCAAGAAAACTCCTAGCAAATATAGAAATGCTAAATCTTGCAGCAAATTGACTGTGAAGCAAACACCTGCAGATACTACAGCTTTTATGAAGGAAGCTGCAGAAGAGAGAGCCTCGAATGATGAGAACAAGCCAGGTGATGTGTACTGTGTGGAGAAGGATGCTGCTCCTGTTTCTAACCCAGGTATGGAAATCGTTATATGTTGTATGCAATCAGTCGACGTGTGTTGATGGTCCTGGGGTGGACCCTGAGTTTAGAGTTTATGGACCTTGTATTTTGGCCTTTAGTTTGTTTATTATTTTCCTTTTAATCTTATTTTATTTTCTCAGTATTTTGAGTCTTTAGTTTTTTGTTCCAGTTACAGCTTGAATTTTAATGAATCATTTCTTTAGTGTTTTCCTCTGTTTTCCATCTGTCTTTCCTGCATGTCAAGCTTACTACTGAGTTTTCTTGTTTTATTTATCCTTACTAATTTAGTGTTTTACTTTGGTAGTTAATTTCCATTCATATGTAGTCCTCTTGTCATGATGTTTGAGCCTTGTTACTCAGTTCCTATAACCCTTTAAAAGACAAGATATAGTTGGAAAATTTGGATTTTCCAGTGAATCCACATCAAAATTACAGAATTTAAAAAGAATATTAAAAAATTGTATTAGTTCAATATTTCAAGCTATAGTCAATTAGATTATATGTAAAAGAACTAGATTATTACACAACAATTTAAAACAGTAAAATATGGGTTTAACAGGATAACAATAAATGATGATGAAAACTCTAATAAACAACAGTCCAGTTAGCCCAGTGGTGTGGTGGCAAGAAGGTCCTGGTTTTGAATCCACCAGCCAACTGGAGCATCTCTGTGTGGAGTCTCTCCTGGCATGTTCTCTCCTTGTTCTCTGGCTTTCACCCACGGCCCAAATATGTGCAGGTTAGGCTAATTACTGACTCTAAACTGGCCCTAGAAGTGAACGTGAGTGTGAATGACTGTCTCTGGCAACCTGTCCACAGTGTACCCCATCATCCCTCACCCTATGACAGCTAGATGGGCTCCAATCAAACCAAGACCATCAAAATCCATCCATCTGTAGAAGAAGACAGATGGATGGGTGTTTCTTTAAAATGCTATAGTTTTAATTTATTCAAAAGATTAAAAATGTGGCATTGCTAATTATTACTATCAATGTGTCAAGATGCTTTCACTTTGTCATAAACTGAACCCTTTTAGGTTATGAAATAAACAGGACAGAAAAAAAGATGATCAAGTTTTACATTTGGACATTAACGTTTGGCTTTTCATTTCTTTTTTGTTGCTTATCAAAAACTAAATTTCCTCACTTCTATCCTTGGAAGAAAAAATTAGCCTGTCACAAGTGCTCTACAGCAAGGTGCCAAGGGGTTTTATAAATAAATACTGTAATTTAAGGAATGCTGAGAGGAAAAGGTTTAAGCAGTTTGCTAATATGTCTTTCCCTCCTCTTGTGTCTGTGGTCAGGTTTGCTTCAAAACAGGATTAGACATCATCCAGACAGTACAGATCATCAGAGGATTCTCAAAGATCCAAAAAAGAGAGCTGGAGATAGAGCTCGCTGGATCCTCACTGATAATTCACTGGGAGAAAGATTTCCAAGGTTAGCTTATTTAGTGTGTGGAGAGTTGTTCATAACCTTCGAACAAGTTTATACTAGAAAAACTTTGTTTGCCCAGACGTCTACGCTCTCCTGATGTACGCTTTTCTCTTCTTATCTAAGGGTATATGAACCAAATGTAAATTTTAATAGTCAAATAATTTTGTCTAGTGTGTGATGATGAGAAGTTGAACTTCACCCTTTGTCTCCTGCAGACATCAACAAGCAATCAAGTACACAAAGAAACTGAATTCGATCCCGCAACCTGTACAGACACACACTCTTCATCATGATGACTCTGGACCTACACCATGTGAGTGTAAGCATGACATCAAAATTACAGACAAAACTGCAAAAAGATGATAAAGTGCTATAAAAAACAGAAGATCAAAGGAAAGCTCAGTCACCAACATCTCACATGACAAATTTGCTCCAACTGTTAAAACTTATGTATAATTCATTTCACTCTTTATCAGACATTCTGGTTAACAAGCCAATATAATGTGTACTTTCACTTTTTAACCAAGTAAACGCTCCGAATCAGCGCTGTTTTTACATCAGAATATAATGTGTAACTTTCGTTCCCACTTACAGACTCTGCCACAGATGTCAATATGGACAATACCTTTGAATACCAGGTAGGAAATCTTTACTACATGCACACATAGTTTTAACCTTTTTTTAAACCCAAGTCTATCTGGTGTTTTAATGTACAAATCTTAACATCGCTCGTAACATTTCACGGTGTCTTGTTAAAATAATCCCTCTACTTTCTGTTTTGTGGTGTCGTTACACCTGCTAGTCAGCAGGCGTCCCTGTAAGAGACCGCTGGTTATGTTTGCCTGATGAGGTGTGGCTGTCCGTCCTGTCTCTGCTGCCTCATAGGGATTTATCCAGAGTGGTGCAGGTCTGCCACCGCCTGCATGCACTGGCATCTGATCAATCACTGTGTGAGTGAACCTGTAGTTTTGTAAACGCTTCAGCTAGATTTTAGTATCATTCTGCTAAAATTCAGATCAAACACAGGACAGATGTCAGAGGGATTTTCTAAACTTTTCCAAGTAGCAGCACATGGTACGCTTTCATGATGTAAGAGCTTCCAGCTGGTGTGTGCTCTACTGCTCCCTGAACAAACATACACATGATTACACTGACCTGCACAGTGATGCATAGAAACTACAGTTCAGAGTTTTGAATGAACAAAAAAGCTGCTTACATTAAACAAAAGTTTATGTTTTACTCCTCCTTCAAGGGAAAAATCTAAGGCTTGAAAACTCGGCTTTAACTGACCAGTGGTTGCTGTGTGTGGGCAGACGTTGTCCTCGAAGTTTGTTTCTGTATAGCTGCAGTGGCCTCTCTGTCTGCTCCAGTGGGCTGCAGATGTTTTTCTCACTGTGTAGGAATTCGCTTAAGGTAAAAAAAAAAAAATCCAATAACAAGAAAAATAATACAAAAATATGACTCAAAAGGGTAAATAACTAAATGATAATCATGCAAGATTGGAAGTTCTGCTGAAAGGCTGTGCACATAACTTAGAGTTGTGTCTGACTGTTATGTAAAAAAATCACATTCATTATCTATTTTTTGTGCTGACACTTTTTTATTAAACCCAAACTCTGAATGCATCTTCCATCACTGGTCACAAGTCTCATAGATGTAAAGTGCGTAAAATGTGATATTTTGCTGCTTGCTTCAGTATTTTGTGACAGCAGTGCAAATATCGTGAATATAAAGTCATGCGATCGTTTCAGGAACTCAGGGTCACAAGTTGTACTGGTCCTGGTCTCCATGGTGATCAGATGTTGTCAGTGATTAGTCAGTGCTGTGATCACGTGACTAGTGTGGATGTAAGCTGGAGTGGAGCAACAGACACAGGAGTGAAGGCTCTGACGGATTACAGAAAAGGGTCAGTAAACACACACGTTTGTTTTCACGGCTTACTGAGTAACCATGACCTAATTATAACCATAACGTAAATACAACATTTTTAGCATGCCTTCAAATTCATGAAATCCGGCATTTAGTCCCCACATTGACTGTTGGTCCCCATGAATACAGTGAGAGGCCAATTTATGGTCCTCATGAAGACATTTAAACAAGTACACACACACAGGAGGATGTTACAGTGACCCTAACAACTCCCACTAACTGCCTTGACCTAACCTCTAAACCTCTAACAAAGTAAAAACCTTCACTCTAAAAAATGTCGTCATTTTAAATGATGAAGGGATGATTTTTGTCCTGATCACAGGTTGTGTATAATTGACTTCTTGCCATTTTTATCTTAGTGAAGTGAAAAAAATGTTTTACATGTTGAATTGTTTACTGTGAGTAAGGAAGGCCATGTTGTACGGTGAAAATATAATATCTTCATATTTGTGGGTCTGTCCATCCATGCATCCATCCACAACCGGTAGATGTTCGCACTTCCATGAGTTTGGTTTTGCCTAAGTTTTATCAATGTTAAGTTTTTCCTTCCCACTGATGCCAAGTGTTTGTTGAAATCAGTCCATCCAGTTTCTTAACCTCTGTTATAATACCAGATAAAGAATCTGACATGGGCGGATGTTTGTTTCTTTTTCTACAGCCTAAAATCTGTTGTCCTGAATGGCTGTCATGTCACTGATGCCCCTCTGAAAGAACTTGTCCTGAAACACAAAGACAGGTCAGAATCCTTCCCTATTAACACATTTACTGCTAATGGTGGTGTAACTCATGCTACACTGTAGGCTTAGGTGGGGGTTAGAAAGTGTTCCATAATGCACGTGCATGTTTGTCTCTGGATAAACTGTCTTTGTAAATATCGTGCATGAAGGGTTTTTTGGGGGGATGTCTTCAAGTGGTTGTCAGGTGATTTTTAGTTTAGTCAAGTTGAAATATGAATTACACTTCAGACATGAAAACATGAAAGACAGTCTCTCTGTCAGACAGAGAATTTCAGGGTACTGTTGAATTTGCACTTCTTTTTCTTCTATTGAGATATTGCAGGGATTAAATGTCTTTGCACTGACAGAAAGGGGATTTTCATCGGTCCAGCCCACTTAAGATCACAGTGGGCTTTTGTGGCCACTGGCATAAAAGACCTTGAAACCTCTGACTTAACTGATTTAATAACTGGAGGAGTTGTGAGAATTGCATCAAAGAGAAAAACTATAATGTTATTCTGATAACAGCTTGTAGTGGCTGACACCGCACATCCTCAAGCCTAAGCCTCGAAAGACGCCGCTCTTATGTTTCAGATAATCCTTAGTTAATCCTCGCAATCCTTATTTTAATCTTAGTTTGAATTCCTGGACACTGAATGTTTTTATTATTTGAAATAAATACCGCTTCGTCTCTTGAAGAATGAGACGTGATTATCAGAAGGACATTAAATAATCACCACATCAAGCTTGTCATGTTGTTGTTTTTGGTGTTTACAACATTGTCTTTTAGCCTGCGCAGGTTGGAGGTGTTTGGCTGTCAGTTCCTTACTTCATCCTGGCTACAGACAGTATATGAGGTGCTAAATTTTGATATAACAGTTAAAAACACATACTATTAATTTAAAATAAAAATAAAAAACTATGATGCTCTGCAGAGCTTCATTTACTAAACATGCTTTAGCATGTGAAAAAGTAACTCCTTGTACATTTCTTCATGTCTTCATATCCAGATGTGCCCCGGCCTTCAGCATCTAAACATCGGACGAGTGCCAAAAATCACCGTAAACAGCCTTACTGGGTTGACAGCACGGCTCAAAAGCCTCATTTCACTGAATCTCACAGGACTACAGGTGGATAGTTTTCTGTGACTCGATTTGAATCTACACATTGAATGTTTATGGAGTTGCAGCTCTGTCTTTAATAGTGCTCTAAACGTAGTCCCTGCCGCTAACAGGTCACTCATGCCATAGTTGATACTTTGCTCCAGAACTGCGTTGAACTTCAGAGTCTGTCCTTCAGTTCCTGTTCTGGAGTCACTGACCTGACACTGCATAGCATCAGCAAATATTCACCTTGTATCAGGTATCCACACATATGCAAAGGGAAGCAAAGTGCACATAATTAATAAGAACCAAGCGTTGCCAGCGGTGTTCTTATCAATAAAAACCGGCCTTAAAGTCAATCACAACATTTCAGGAGAGTGGGTTTGTTTGACCAGTTAAAAGAAAAAAGAAAAAAAAAATCCAGAGGAACTGTATAAAAAATATGTTTTACTTTAGAAAATAAAAAGTTAAATTCATATTTTCATACTTGACATATTAACAATTAACATCTATGATATCCATGTGGGTTTTTGTTTGTGTGAGTTAGAGCTGTTGATGTGAGTGGCTGCAAAGCAGTAACAGATGCAGGTGTTCAGTCTTTGGCTCTGGGCTGCACAAGACTTCAGCAGCTGGATCTCAGCTCCACCAGCACCGGAAACAGAGGGTACAATGCACGTCACACCACATGTGATCAATGTGCTAGTGTCAGTGTTAGTGACGAACAAGTGAACCCTCAACTGAATGGATTCTGTCTGCTCAAACCAAAAACACCAACACAACTAAAGCAGTGTTGGTGTTGCTGCTACATACATAATGTGTGTGTGTGTGTGTGTGTGTGTGTGTGTGTGTGTGTTGTGCATGCATGATGTGACCCAGGGTTTCTCTGCTAGCAAATTACTGCAACAGACATCTTCATACCATCAAACTCAGTTTCTGCCACATCACCGTAAAGAAAATACTGAAGCTTTGCCAACATTGCAAGAGGTAAAAACACACATTCAAAGATGTTTCTTTATTCTCCGCACAAAATGCAGAGTCACTGTGTACTGCCATTAATTCCACTGAGCAGAATGAACACAAGGACGTATCAATACAGTGTTTCAGAAAAGTGCAGTAGCTGCTCTTCACACGCTTTCAAACTCAATTTCTATTCATTTCTCTACATATTTAAATGTCAAAGGTTTTCCACTGTTGCAATTCTAAACGTAGCACACACGAACACATTAGGTTCACCCCCCATGACCTTTTACAGGATAAAATTATAATTAGCTCATATATAAATGATGTTTATCAATGATGGGCAGTGTGTGTAGAATAAGGCTGTAACACAATCAAATGTGTAAAAAAAAAGTCAGCTGCTAGTGATCTAACAAGTGTTGACATGGCAGAATAAAGGAGCAATCCATCCATCCATCCATCTTCATCCGCTTTATCCGGGG